TACTTCTGTGTCTATATCTCCCTATCTCTGACTCCTTGTCTCTCTCCTTAGCTCTCTCTTTCCATCTCCTTCTCTGTGTGTGTCTCCCACTGACTCTCTGTCTCTCTGTCTGTCTCTCCATCTCTCCCTGTGTGTCTCAGTCTTTATCCATCTCTGTGCTCTGAGTATCAGTCAACATTGGCACACCAACAGGACCCAGGCTGAGTCCGGTGGTCAGTCTCTCTGACTTCCTCTCTATCCCTCCGTGACCCTCTGCACATGCCATTTTCTTTGTGCTTCTCACTTCCCATCACTACCTCCTCTGCCACTTCCTGCAGGTCCTCTGCATTCTGAGAACTGGCCTCTGTGGTCCTCCTCTTTGGATGCTCCTACTTTTCTCTTCATGTCTTTTCTAGGTGCTACTACTTGTCTGCCTCCTGTGGTTGCTGGGCCACCGCTTCCTGAGCCCATTCCACTTCGAGATCTTGTCATATCGATATCTGAATTCTTGCAACCACACGATGTTGTGTTAAAGACAATTTCATGACTTTTTTCTTAAAAAAAGATTTATTATTCTGTGTTCTTTGGTTGTTTGACTTGCATGTATGTCTGTGTGAGGGTGTCGGTTCCCCTGGAACCGGAGTTACAGATGGTTGTGAGCTGCCGTAAGGGTGTTAGAAATTGAACCTGGGCCCTCTGGGAGAGCAGTCAGTGCTCTCAACTGCTGAGCCATCTCTCCAGCTCTGATCGTGTGTTTTTTTTTCTGTGATAGCAATTTTTAAAAATTTTTCTCAAGCTTAAGCTCTTTATTCTGTGGTATAGTTTATTGACTGATATGAGAGCTACCTTATTTTGGGCCACTGGTTACATATGACCAAGGTAAATTTTTTTCTGCTCTAGTTTGGTGTGAAGTGACCCAATGGTGGGAAGGCTGTGAATGAGCGAGCAGGATTTCTTCTTGTGCTACAGGCCATTTTTGGGAATGTTCCGTCCATCCCTGACATCCAAAGGCTGTCGAGATGCTCAGCTGTTGCTCTAGCCGGAAGCCTAAGGTCTCCCCTGCTCCTGTCTTATCATGGTCCGCTTCTGGCATATGCCTCTCGCGGCTTTTCTGCCTCCTTTTGTGTGACTTGGCTGGTATAAGCTGGTCCTTTCCATCCCCTCTTTACCTGTGCCCCCGCAAGGGAATCTGGCTGGCCCTCAGGATATCAGTCCCTCTGGGCTCTTTGTCTTTTTATCTGCTTGAGATCCTCCGCCACAACCGTCTCCTCCTTCGAGAGCACTGTGCTAGGCTCCATGTCCCGAGAGGCTGTCAGTGCCTTGCCTCTGAGGATCCCTGAAACTTCAAGGTGGCTTTACGAGGTGACTGGTATCTCTCCTTCGCTTTTCCGTGTTAAAACGTAAACTGTTCTCTATGTCTTTTATCTTTATTTTACTTTTAGGTACTTTGTTTTTCTTGCGCTTCATGCACCAGGCAAAGCGCTCTGTTGTTGAACTATATCCCGAATTCTCATCGCCCTCTACAATGTATGCATTTTAAATATAGAAAAGTTCAAGTTTGGGGAAGAATTCTGGCACCAAAGAGTATGTGTGGTGTTTACATATTCTCTTGGCATATGTTACTTCACAATTCAAGAATTTTGTTAATTATATAAATCGCATATGGCTTATCAGTTATTTGTTCCTTAGGTTATCAAGTCAAAGAAGGCATTTTGTTATAAAGAAAATATGTGATTTGTGAATTTCCTAACAATTTTATGTTTTTTTATTTATTTACTTATTGCATGTATGTGTGGGTCAGAGGACAGCTTGCAGGAGCTAGCTGTTCCCTTCTACCGCATGGGATGGAACCGAGGTCCGTAGGCTTGGCAGCAGACGCCTTTACCTTCTGAGCCATCTGTCTTCATCCATAGAGCCATCTTGCAGGGCATAATCTCTGAGTTCTTAAACTCAGGTAATTAGGTTTTATTTTCTATCTAAGTAGTTTTGGTTGATTTACATGAAAATCTGCTTGAAAATTTCAGTGATAAGAAAATCAATGGTTCTTTCTGAAATTCTCAGTATGACTTCTTCTGTACATAATTACACTGATTAAAAAAAATTCTGTTGTTTCTTTTCTAGGATTCAAATATTGGGGCTCATTCTCATCTCTCACTTGTGCCATGAGGTGGTGCTAAGTATGCCGTCATTCTTATGATAAAAATTTCTAGAATGCTCTCTCTGTTATACATAGTGGAATTAGGAACTTTGATGTGGTTGAGATGATTAATTAACAAGAATTAAAAATAGCATTATGGGGCTGGAGAGATAGCCCAGGAGTTCAGAACACACACTACGCATGCAGAGGACCTGAGTTCTGTTCCTAGTACCGGTGTCAAGTAACTCACAACTGCCTGTGATTCCAGCTCTGGGAGGGTCCCTCACCTCTGGCCTCTGCTGGCGCCTGCACAGGCATACATGGGCCTATGCACATACACATAGTTAAAAACAATAAAACCAAAATCTTAAAATAGCATCATTGGAAAATAATAAGAGTCTCTTGTCACTATATACACTGTAGAGCTCTGCGAAACACCAGCAGTCTGTAAGGATCAAGGAAGAAGACTACCATAGGCAGAGTGAGCCTGCTGTACTGTAAAGGGCTGTTCAGGAGACTCAGGTTCTGCATCTAACAGATGCATAGAGCCTGCTTTTAGCATTGTATCGCTCTCTTGCACGTTGGTAAGGGTGGGGTGGCTTCCTATGTCTCCCTCTCATCGGCATCTCCGATGTCTCCATATCCTGTTCGAGCCAGGCTTATCGCATTACTCTCTACCCTTGGAATAAAGGTGGTCCCTTTAATCTGTTTACCTGAGGACCCCAGATGAGAGGCTTCACGTAACTGCCTTCCTCGACAGTTTTTTTCCTCTTTCATTTACACTTCCGCTCATTACAGAGGGAGAAATGTAATAGACCTTCCGAAGGGGAGCAGGTGACTCTGCATGGGTCTTGATTGAATTTCAGTGGCCAGACGGTCCACCAAAGACTTTGATTTTAGCCGCGACATAATTATTAAATTTCTTTAGTGGGGGGAGGGGAAGAGAGGGCACACACTCTTGATTTGTAAATCCCCAAGGAGTGCTCACATCCATTCGATAGCATATTTCTGGAGGGGGATTTTCTCCTGTAAACACTCATTTCACGTTCTCCAAAATGACGGTATAGCTGACTGCAAACACTTGCTGAATTTTCATTATCTCCTTTTAAGTGGGTGTCTATTCAATTGTTAAAAGGCTTCCATAACCTTGTGGTCTAGCAGTCCTTGTGGTGGGCCGCAAGTTCACATGGTGAATGTTGGAAGTCGTAATAAAGTGTTAGACTGAGTCCTGCAGGAGTTGTGAACCATGACACTCAGTTTCGCCCTTCATACAGAATGGCTTACAAACGATTCCTTTCTCCTCTTCTAATTTCCACACCCTGAGCCACCCCTGCCTCTGGTTGCTCAGCATAGCTGGTAGCTCCCTGTCCCCATCCTCTGGGCCTGGACAAGCCCATCTCCTTCCCTCTCCAGCTCACTAGCCTTCTGAGAAACCTGGCACATCACTGTACCCTGACCCTCAGTGACCCACTGTCGGCGGTGGAAGCAGAGGGGGTATAGGCTACCTTCAGTGCTGTGTGCAATGATTCCTGGGGGTTGGGAGGAGAGGGAAGGGGGAGCAGGGGGAGGGCCAAGGTCCCCTGAAACCCAGCACTCCTCTCTATGATGTGTAACATGATGACACCTCTAATGGCATTTGGGTTTGGTGCATGCCTGCTCCAGGGGAAGCCCAGAGATGGGGACTCTGAGTCTATCCCGACTCTGATTCAGCAATGGAGTTTTTTTCCTTGCTCCAGTGTGCTGTGTCACCCTTAGGGGAAAGGTAGCACAGTGGCTTCCTGGCATCTTCTGAACCACACCCTGGGCAACTGCTTGCCCCTTTGAGCAAATGTTCTGTTCCTCTGAGCTGTGAAATTTCACAACGGGTCAATAGCTGGTGTGTGTGTGGGTCTTCCCACAGTATGTGATTACCTTTCTCTGAGATGGCTCAAACAAACTCAGTACTGGTTAGACTGAGTGTTGGGCTTTCTTTTTCATCAGTGTTTTGGGAATTGCTTCTGAAGCAGTCAATGGAGGGACTGAGTGAGGTTCAGATTCTGTGTGGTCTGAGAAGAAACCCAGAGGAGCTCAGCTTGGCTGCAGAGGAAAGCCAGGATGAGACTGGAGGAATGAGGGGGAGGATCCCTCAGGCAAGTTAGAGAGGGACTGAGAGGCAGAACACCGACCTCTAACGTTCCTGCCCCACAGTGGGGGTGGCCCTGTGGATCTGGACAGGGCCAGAGGGTCTGGACTTGAAGGCCCAGGGGATGGTGGTGGAAATGTGAGCGTGGAGAATGTGCAGGGTTAGACTGGGGTGGTAGAAGGACACACCAGTGACTGCTGGCAGGAACCAGAAAGGGACACCCTGGCTGGACTAGAGATGGGCAAGGAGCTGCTTAGGGAGGTTCCCTCTCCTTGTCCTTTGGGTGGGAGCCCATTGTCCTTCATTCATGTTCCTGTAGTAAAATATCTTGACAAAACAGCAACCTAAGGGAGAAAGCATTTGTTTTAGTTTACAACTTCAGAGGATAGACTGTCACTGCAGGCAAGTCACAGTGGGAGGGGCTTCAAGCATCCAGTCACATGATACCCAGAGTCAAGAGCAGGGAGGGAATGCTTGCTTGGTACACGGTTAGCTTTCACTACTCTTTTGTATCCAGACCTGGGGGTGGTGCCACCCACTTTCATATCAATTAAGGCAATCAAGATGCTCCCTCATAACATGCCCACAGGATAACACACCCACAGGATAACACGCCCACAGGATAACATGCCCACAGGCTGACCTGACCTAGTCAGTCTCTCCTTGAGGCTCCACATAGTGTCAGGTTGGCAATTAAAAACTAGCGCCATCCCAGCCACGGAGCCAGCGTTGTCACCAGAAGCCGAGGAGTGGGTCCAGATTGGAAGATGGTCATTGTTCTCAGGACTGGTTCGTCTAGCAGGGGGTTTTACTCACTTACAAACACAGAGGTATATTCTAGTGTGTGTGTGTGCGTGTGTGTGTGTGTGTGTGTGCGCGCGCGTGTGTATGTGTTCACATGTGTGGGCACATTGAATCTGCGTGCATAGGCCTGAGGTTGATATTAGGTGTTTTCCTTCACGCTCTCTACCTTATATACTGAGATGATCTCTTACAAGACCCAAAGCTCTCAGAGCCACTCAGCCTGACTAGTCGGCTTGCCCTGGGGCTTCCCCATCTCTGCCTCTCTGCCTCCCACATTTAACCTATGCAGCATTTACATGGGTACCAGGGATCTGAACCCTGGTCCTTGTGCGGCAAGCCCTTTACCTGCAGAGCCATCTCCCCAGCCCCTGAGATCGCCTCTTCATAACACAGTTTTACAATGTTGTTTTCTTGTGAGTGCTGTAGTAGCAATTTGCTTTCTCTTCTGGCCAAGTGGATTGAGCGTCACCAGGCATTGGTGGTTTTGAGCAAAGGACTTTCAGCTACAGCCCCCTTCCCTGGGGTGGCCCCTGTGCAGCCTGGCCCTGCAGCCTCCAGTGTGGTCAGATCTGGCTCCCAGCAATGACTGTGAATACAGAGGCTTGTGGATCCAGTGTGGTCAGATCGGGTCCCCAGCAATGACTGTGGAACACAGAGGCTTGTGGATCTCTTTACGTGTGGTCCTTGGCAGGTCAACTGAACACCCCCAACCCTACCCATTGCTGCTGGTGGTTTATTGTTTAGATCGAACCATGATTGCCCCAAATGCACAGCCTACCCAAAATGACTATTTGGTCATATTCTTCACTTCAGGTCAGTGGCAGGGTCTGGATGCTCAGTCAGGGCAGAACGATGCAGGGCCAGTACTGTAGGCTGAAGACTCCCCCATCATTATAACTATCATTAGGAAGAAAGCCACTAAATTTGTTAGAACAGCACAGGCAGGACCACAGAAGGAGCCTTTTAACTGGGGGTCCTTGCTGATTAATCTGTATACATTGATGGAAGTTTCTCATAAGGTAACCCATGGCTTTGTGACCACCCCCCTTGACAGACAAGATATAAGGGCTGTAGGGGTTCTTTCCCAAGCTTCAAGCAGGGCAACGGAAATAAGATGTTTTACCGTGTAACTTGGAGCCAGCGTCGTGGTAACTCTCCAAAGACTGGCAGCTGGTGCGGTTATTAGCACATTGCCATCTGCTTCAGTCCTCCCCGCTGGGAGTTTCATCTGATCCTTTTAGTTTTGGGGAGCCTTCTCTCACCTGGGAGATGCCTCCAGGCTGAGGAACGGGTCCAGAGATGGCATTGCTCATTGCCACGGAGAACCCTCTGAGGGAGGACTTGGAAACCGGTGTGGGTCCCACCCTGTAGATGTCACGTGTGATACCCTACAGCCACACTCTGAGGGTTTCATCCTCATTGAGTTTGTCCCTCCTGGAGCACTGAGCGTTGGCCACTGTAGGACACAGGGAAAGATCCATGGCATTTCACCTAGTGTGTCAACTCAGAGTTGAGTGAATTTTGCATATGCTTCATGCAGGTCTTTTGATTATACGTGACAGAGATACTGTTTTGATGGCAGGGAATTGGCTGACTCATGTCATTGCAAGGTTATACAGTAAGGCTAGTGGCTCGGGGCCACTGGTGGAAACATCCGACTTGTGGCAAGGGATTTTTGAGGGAGGTTGGGTCATGAACTGCAACTTGGAAGTTGAATTAACAGTGACGATTTTTCTGGAAACCCTGACAAGTGGCCCAGCCCAAGCAGGTTTAGGTTGAAGAGAGGAAGGGAGAGGAGCTGTGTTCTAGCCGCTTACTGGGAGTCACCAGGGTGCTTTGACAGGAAGGCAGTGTTGGCACGGTGTCCCTGAGACCTGGTACGGTGGTGTCAATGAGAATGTCCACCATAGGCTCATATGTTTGAAAGCTTTGTCCCTAGTTAGTGGAAGTGTTTGGGAATGATTAGGAGGTGTGGCCTTGTGGGACGTGGATTACTGGGGTGAGAATTGAGGTTTTAAAAGCTCGGGCTGGCCCCAGCCTCACTCTCTTTGCCTGCTGCCTTCAGGTCAGGATGTAAAGCTCTCATCTCATCATCGATGGTGCTACTGCCCCAGCACCACTCCTGTCTGCTTCCCGTCATGATGGTCATGGACTAACCATCTAACAGAATAAGAAAGTCCCCCGTTAAATACTTTATTAACACTGCCTTAGACATTGTCTTAGTCTGTGATCTAGTGCTGTGATGAGACACCATGACCACAGCAACTTTCATTAAGGAAAACGTTTAATTGGGGCTGGCTTACAGTTTCAGAGGTTCAGTCGGGTCAGTTCATTATCATCATGTCAGGAAGCATGTCAGCCTGCAGGCAGACGTGATACTGGAGAAGTAGCTGGGAGTGCTACGTCCATATCTGCAGGCAGCAGGGGGAGAGAGAGAGAGAGAGACGGAGACAGAGAGAGACAGAGAGACACTGGGTCTAATTTGGTCTCTAGAAACCCCAAAGCCACCCCCAGGGACACACAACAAGGTCATACATATCTCCTCCAACAAAGCCACGCCTCCTAATCCTTCTCAAGCAGTTTCACTTCCGGATGAGCAAGCAGCCAGACACATGAGCTTACAGGGGCCATTCTTAGCCAAATTTCCTCATCACAGCAATAGAATCGTATCTCAGCTTGCTCTCCTCATGGCCTCTGCTCTCCCAGATCATCCATCATTCTTGGGCAACTCCCTGTCACCACGGCAACTCTGGGCTTGCATCCTCTTGGCTATGGTGGGAAGCAAGGGTCTCTTTTCAGATGGCTCCTAGGAATGGCCACGAACACTACTGCTTGTGTCTAGCTCGCCTCACCCCTCACGGACCACCAGGCTCTGTGTGGGTCTGAGTTGCAGACCCTGGGCATGGGGCTAAGGATGCGCATTGAGAGAATGATTAAAGCGTGAATAAATGAGGGACCAGTGAGTGGGCTGCTAGGACCAATTTGGATTTTGAGACAGGTAAGACCGAGGGAGACAAATACACTTTTGGCTTCTGTGGATCTAAAATCCTCTAGTTCGACTGTAGTAGGAGCTGTGGGGCTGCATTCTGCCACCCAGCTCCCGCCGCCGGCTAGCTTATGCCCCGAAATAACAACACACAAACTGTATTCATTTAAACACTGCTGGGCCCATTTCTATCTAGCCTCTTCTCGGTTAACTCTCGCACCTGGACTAGCCTATTTCTAATCATCCATGTAGCACCCCAAGGTGCGCTTACCAGGAAGATTCTAGCCTACGTCCATCCTGGGTCGGAGCTGAATCGCGTCTGTCTGCCTGGGAGCGAGGCATGGTGTCTCTCTGAGGGGTCTGCCCCCGAGAGGAGAGCTGTCGAGTCTGAGCTCACTTCCTCTTCCTCCCAGCATTCTGTTCTGTTCACTCTACCCACCTATGTTCCAACCTATGAGGGCCAGCCAAGCAGTTTCTTTATTTTTTTAACCAATGACCTTCCTCCATCATTCGACATCCAGGGAAGGCAAAACATCAGTCACATGACCTCTAGTGCTGACACACTTATCATCTGGTAGTGAATCCCAGACTTGGCCCCGTGTGTTAATTATTTACTAGGCCAGTGCAGCATCCACTATATCTTAAGCTTCTGGATTTTGCTTTTTCTTGCATGTCTCAGGCCAGGAGTGGGCTCAGGTGTATTGCAGAGGACGACTGGGGACATCAACAGGCAGAGCTATTAACCTTGGAGGTGGGAAAAAGCCTGACCAGAGTCCCTATGAGATGGTTCAGATGTAAATTACCACGTGTTAACATCTAGCAGTGGGGGTGCAGCACCGTACAGAACATTAAAGCAGTGCCGATTCAACCGTGTTGCTTCAAGGGCCTGGTTCCCAGACCCTGGCTGATAGTTCTCTTCATCCCTGGTGGCACTGTGGCTCACCCTTCAATGTCACCCTTACCATTATAATCACTTCTCTTCTGGCTCCGAATAGAAGATATTGTACTACAAGTGGTGTGACCCATCCCATCCTGGCTACCATTTCCGCCAAGCTGGGTAGGGTATGTCCCTGTGGCAGGCAGCCTCCTCTGACGTCAGCGAATGTGTGCTATTACCTGTTGTGAGGTGTTTGTACTCTGCGCGAAGATACATTGTTGTGATTGGTTTAATAAAGAGCCACATGGCCAATGGCTAGGCAGCAGAGATAGGTGTGACGTCTGGGCAGAGAGAGGAAACTTGGAAGGAATCTAGGCATGAGAGGAGCTGCCAACAAGATATGGAGGGACTCAGGCATACAGAATGACAGAAGGGCAAAAAGCCAAGAGGCAAAATGTAGATTCATATAGATGGAGTAATTTAAGTTATAAGAGCTAGTGGGACAAGCCTAAGCCAAAGGCGAGCTTTCATAATTAATAATATCTTCTTGCCATTATTTGGGACAAAGACTCATTGCAGTAACCCGTTTGAGGAAGTGGCCGTGTGCACACACCCCCTTCTCTCCATCTCCCGCCTCCACTTTCCTTTCTTCTCTGTGGATCTTGAGTGGCAAGTCCCTGTTTCACACATGCCACCATGGAGTATTGAATTAAGATCTGAGTCACCAATTTATCATCTTGACATCAAGCACACAGGCTAAGAAGTTCGTGTAAGAGGACTCCCGTAATCACGCGGCAGCGTCTCAGATTGATCTCTATAGAATTTTTCTATTACTCAGCTGCCAAGCCAATACCTGGGAATTTCCCTCATGGCTGTCTTTCCTTCAAGTCCTAATCCATCAGCAAGTCTAATCAATTTCACATCCTTCGGGTCTCCTGAATTGCCTCTTGCTTGGGTTTCCTAGCCAAATTGCCTACTTTGTCTTTTCTGTCTTCTGTTTTCTTGCCTCTCATCCATTTTCCACGCTTGAGCCAGTAAGAGTCCACTAAACCCCAAACCTGTCAGGGTGACATCTTTCCTGGGTTTTCACCCATGACCTGTTTCTTGCCTCTCTCCACACCCTGAGCATCCTTCTGAGCATCCTTCTGAGCCTCTTTAGAAAGTCATTACAGAGAAGGGGGTAGCTGACAGAGGGCCGCTAGGGTGGTTTTGATTTCGAAGCCTTCTGGATTTGTTCCTGCAAAGCATTGGAGACCTGGGCCGTGCTGGCCTCTGAAGCTGTCTGGTATTGGCTGTTTTGGGGAGGGGCAGGAGGAGGACCTGCGACTTCTAATCACCTACGTCTGCATTGAGTTAGTTTCCAAGGCTTTCCCCCAAAAGGCCAGGCAGTGGCGTGACTCTCCTCTGCCCCGCATGGGTCCTCTCTTCTTTATATCTTGTTTATCTTTGCAGATAAGCTCCACACAGCTCTTGGCTTACCTCAGCGTTAGCTCCACGACTCTAGTAAGTATTCGCATTCATGTGTCTAACAAGGCGGGGATAACTGCATCCACACAGATCACCCTCAGAATGTAGTGGGCGGGAAAAAAAAACACTCAAAAGTTAGTTCTTAGTTGGGTATAGCTTTGGGAGGTTGAGACAGGAGGATTGCCCCAAGTTTAATGCCGGTCTAAGATACATAGTGAGCTACAGGCTCATCCCTCACTCACCACCACAATAAAAAAGACTTGGAACTTAGATCTTATTCTAGTTACAGTTACTCAGCTTAACCTTCCTATATGTTCCAGATGTGATGACCATATATTTTTTTGAAATCAGCAGTGAAGAAGCTCCCAGGCTGCTCCTGGTTCTTCAAAATTCTCCCTCAGTGACACGATTAGATTTCAATTCTATTACTACAGTAACATGATAAAAAATAAACTAAAAAATTGTTAGTAGGAATCCAGCTGGGGAGGGACAGTGGGTAGGTATACACACACACACACATACATACACATACACACAGAGACACACACACATAGAGACACACACAGAGGCACAAACACACAGACACACACACACAGAAACACACAGAGACACACACAGAGGCACACACACAGACACACACAGAAACACACAGAGACACACACAGACACACACAGAGACACACACAGACGCATACATACAGACACACAGATACACACATACAGACACACACACGCACACATACAGAAACACACACACAGACACAGACACACACACACAGAAACACACAGAGACACACACAGACACAGACACACAGACACACACACACAGACACACACATGGATAGATGCCATGCTGTGACAGACTGGGTGTCTTGAAAAGCACTATGGTTCTTTGGTTTCCTAAGTTCAATCCCTTCTGCCCCTTACAGATTGATAATCATATTCTTGGCAATTAGTATTCCCCAAGGATTAATGTTTGCCACCAGCTTTAATGTTAGAATATTCATTATGCTAATAATGTTATAGCAGGCATCTGATGTATATTTATGCCCGAGAAGACATGGTAATTCCATGTGACTGGCTTGGGAGCAGGTAGGCCAGGCAGTTCGTGAAGCATTCTTTTCCTAATTGGCAGAGACAGGAAGGAGGAGGAGTTGGCATCCAGCAGAGAAAGAACATGCTGTGTGTCCACAGTGGTGCAAGTCGAAGCATGTATTCTGTGACTCCCGGAAGTCAAGTCTTCTTGTTCAGCTTTCAGTTTTTTTATTTAGGATTATACCAGGATCTTGTGCACACCACATAAACATTCTACCACTGTGTAGAACCCCAGCCCCTTAATTGACTTTTTTTTTTAAAGGTGTGTTTTGCTCGTGTCTGTGACTGTATGGTGTGTATGTGTGTGTGCACATTTGCGTGTGTGTGTGAGTAGATGGGAGGGCTGAGCCATCCTCAGACCCTCCAGCTTCTCCTGGACGCCAGGGTCTCACTCCGTAAGCCAGGGTCTCTCTCGGGTGAATTGACAGCTTGAGCTCATGGCTTGCCTGGCTAGCTAGCCAGCTCTTCGGATCCCATCTCTGCTTTCCAAGTGCTAGAGTTGCAGGTACCTTATCCACATGGACTTTCCACAGAAGCTGGGGATCTGAACCCAAGTCATCAAGCTTGCAAGGTGAGGAGTGCCTTACCTTCTGAGCCATCTCCTGTGCTTCCACCCCTTTATTTTATTTTGGGACAGTGTCCTGTTAAGTTTACTCAGGCTGGCCCTGAGCTCAATCTGTAGCCCATGTCAACCTTGAACTTGTGATGCTTGGGCCTCAGCCTGCAGCCGTCTGCGCCATCAGGTTTGACTAAGTCCCAGGGCTCGCACCAAGGCTCCTCCTGCAATGTGAGTCAAGCCCAAGGCTGCTCTGTCTAAGGCAGAAGAGGACCCGGGATAACCCATCTCTGCCCCTTTCCCATTTTCATCCTTTTGGAGTTTAAAATGGAGCATCTAGTTGTCAGTTTTGCCATGAAATCGCAAGCTTTCATTAAGACAGAGGGCGAGGCGAGCACAGAGTCCCCCACATCTCTGTTTGCTCTTGGTGAAGGAGGAAGAGATGTCTTCCTCGGAACACAGCCGAAGAAGACAGCTTCATTAGTGTGGCCAACTTCTCAGGAGCAGAACTGGGGCACGGCTGTGGTGGTTTTGACAGGTTGGGAACATATAGATTCTTCACACCCCATGAACTTAGGGTGAAGGGAGAGATGGGGGAGGAGCCAGGAGGCTCCCTGAAGATCGTGGCAACGTCTTCATGGAGTTACTCTGAAAAACAGCCCTCTGCCTCCTCAGGTTCTGAACAGGTGAGCTGCAGAGGTAGACCCAGCAGGGAGAGCCTTGACTGGATGTTGGGAGCCCATGAACTCCTCCTCCCAGTCCCCTGACCTGTAAAAAGGGGTGTGTGTCAGGTGCCAGTGACGGAAGCCCAGGGAATGGTGTTTAAGTTCCTCTCTGTTCTTCCCTGAAGAACAGCTTGCTCTCCCAGGGAGGAGCAGGGCAGCCAGAGCTAATGGCTTCCCCACCCTAGCAAAGGACACAGCAGCGAGAGCTGTCCACTCTGAGTGTCCAGGCACGAGTTTCTCAGGGAAGGGCCTGCTTACAGCTGATCTGTAGCATGGACGGGAGAGAGTCTCGAACACTGGGTGGATGAGAGTCGTCACTGAATCCAAGAGTTAGCTCAGGGACATGTGCCATTTTTATCTGTTATATAAGTGTTTTCTCTCAACTAAGGTTTGCCTCTTTCCCTATATCCACCCCCACCCCCCACTTTTTTTTTTTTTTTACAAAAAAAATATTTTCCTCATACTTGTGTTGTCTCTCAATGCTGCTTCTGACTTCTTCCCTTGGGTGGATGCAGACACTCAGTAGCTACAGGACTTTATTCAGAGGGCAGGGTGACCATCAAGGTTTAAAGGAGGTCTTTATACACCACTGTCTAGGAGGAATACATTCGTTACTCCCCCAAAACACATGCTCAGGCGAAAAGAAACGCTATTTGAAACATTGCAATTCATTACATAATCCTTGACCATAATGAACCTGACCACTAACAGGTAGCCAGATAGGTGAGATACACAAAACAGAAAAACAACAAGCCAGCCCCAACAACCGCTGTTGCTAACTCTAACTAAGGTGAGACAGAAACAGAAGCTTCTGGGAGTAAAGAAGGAAGTAGGTGGCAAAACAAAAAACGAGGGTGATAATTGTCATCACGGTTTTCCCTTCTCGTTCAGCTGTGGGGCTCTTGGCAGTGGAAGGAAAGCCAGGATATATATGGACACGGAGAAATACAGTTTATCATGAGAAAGAATGGTTTCCCTTCAGAGGTAGGCACAATTACAGTCACCCTTTCTGGGACCACATTCAGACTACATGTATGAATTTTCCTATGACACTTTTAAAGAATTGGGTTATATTCAGTATATATGAGGATGTCCGAGATTTTATATAAATACCTCAGGGGCTGGAGAGATGGTTCAGCGGTTAAGAGTACTTTCTGCTCTTCCAGAGTTCCTAAGCTCAGTTCCCTGCCCCTGTAAGGGGCAGCTCATGACAGCCGATGCCTCTAGCTCCAGGGGATCCAATATCTTCTTCTAGCCTCCACTGGTCTTTGCATATACATGGGGTATAAACACATAGACACATACACATAAGTGAAAATAAAATGAACCTAAAGAAAAATCTCAGAACTGTATAGGGGATCTATAGAAGACATTTTCTTCAGCAAGAGACTACACATGACAGATTTGAGTGACACCTACTGATGGGAAACAAAGTTGTACCATCAGTGTCTAGCTCAAAAAGAACTTCTTGCCAGTCTAGCTCTGGTTCCAAACATAGACTTCATTGTGGGGGACCTGTGCGAGGAGGGGTAACTGGTTTTAGAAGATACCTTTGCCTGTATTTATGATAGTTGGGGTCCCGTTGGGCTAAGTTTTATGCTCTTGTCTGTCAGTGATTCCCCATCACCACGTGTGACAACAGGCCATGTTCCCCTCCTGAAATGCAATATGTACTGATATCCTGCAAATATCACTTCCAGGGAGGCTTTGATCTCACCCAGATTGGGAGCTCGTCTTCCATGCCCATGCCCGCCCCCCACCTTCAGAAGTCTCACCTGTCTGCACAAACCTTCTCACTCAGTAATCAAGTATCTGACAGACAGGCCCAGTCTAAAGGCCCATGACCCTTAGCAAACAGCGAATGGGTCTACTTAGGTCAGTTCAGTGGGCTGACACGGGATCTCGAGTTTGATGGCATGTTTAGGGCAAGTGCAATTTCTATGGGAGTCTGAGGTCTAAACTTTTCAGGACTCTCATCATGGAATTATTTCACCTTTCATCCACAAAAACCTCAAATATTGGCGATGTTCAAAGATCCCACCAGGAAGTCTGTGATGTTCCCGAATGTTTAGTAAGAGCACAAACAATTCTAGGTAAAGGGGATGCAGCCAAAAGACGAGCTTCCCACTTCTGCAGGGTCCACAGTCCTTCGCAGGACCAAACAATAAGGTAAACTGAGCCAGCTATAAATAGCACCAGGACAGTGTTAGAACCCCAGGACCTTAGGAATGGCTGGGCTGGGAACAAGAGTTCATCTAAGTGTGAGGGCTGTGGAACTTGTTGCAGGAGGAGGGGCTTTGGCGTAGGAACGGTGAAGGAGAAGCAGCCGGAGCGTTTTCTGTAGGATGTGTGTATCCTCAGGACAGTCAGGAGGTAGGTGTGTATGATACAAAAGGAAGACCAGTGTGGCCCCTGTGGGGAGAAGTCCTAGGGCACAAGAAGAGGGTGGGGAGCAGGAAGATCCCCTACCTACAGTTCATGCCGTGCCAGGAACTCACTAGAAGACTTTAAGCAGGAGGACATTAGTCGCTGGGTAAAGAATACCTGGATAATATCAGTGGGAAGGATGGAGGCTGATGGAGGAGGGGAGTGCCATAGTGTGGAAATGGCTGATGACTGGGAGAGCCAAGCCTTGAGGACCAGATGGGAGGTGGGGTAGGGGAAGCAGAGTCTGTGACAAGACCTGTTGTTCCTTGGAGTCTGCCTCTGCAGGTGGGGCTTCTTCAGGAAGCCATGGCCTTCTAGGCAAGGAGATGAGCCGCTTGACGGATGTAATAGTTAATACTCTTAACTTGAAGGGATTTAGTGTCACCATGGGAACACACCTCTGAGCAAGTCTATGAAGCTGTTTCCAGAAAGGTCTAACTGAAGAGGCAAGGCCCACTCTGAGTGGTGGGTGACATTAACAAGGGACTGAGGTCCTAGAGAGAGAAAGTGGGTGGAGCCACAGCATATCCTCCTCTTTGATGCTTCCCAACTACAATATGCCACGCCAGGCGACCGCTGCCATGTTTTCTCCTGACCTCTGGAGTGCCGAGATTACAGGCATATGCTAGCACACTCAGTTTGTGAGGTGCTGAGCTCCGAACCCAGGGGGTTAGTGTGTGCTGGGCAAGCACTCTACCAGGAGAACTACATCACCAGTCCTGTCTCTTTTACTGCTATTTTACTGACCTCCTAGCTCTGTTTTAAGTAACACGAAGAAGTTGAGAATGGTAGCTATTAGCTCGATGTGGTAGTATGTACTTGTATATAGGTGTAATATCAGCATTTGTCAGTAGACATGGAAGGATCTGGAGTTCTAGGTCATTCTGGGCTACATAAGAAGTTGAAGGCCAGCTTGGGCTGTGGGAGACCATCTTAATGAAATACCATCACTACCACCTTTGTGACCACGGGGGGAAAAAATCAATCAAACAACAACAAAAACAAACCTAAACAAATTAGCAACAACAAACAAAAGAAAGGAATATGGAAAGGAAATGGTAGCTTTGAAGTGGAGAGAAGCAAGGCATGAGGAAGTGGAGAGGGCATGGAGGAGACAGAGTATGAAAGAGCTGGTATATTCGGTGGTGGGTGCACAAACAGCAGTGAGAATCAGAGGAGCAACAGCTTCAGGGTAGAGGTGATCCTGAGCTTTCTTAAAGAATGGGGGTTCGTAGAGCAGAGCCGGAGCCAAGAATAGCCTAGGCCATGCTGGGAGAGCTGGGGACACCATGCTCAGGAATTTGAACTTCAGGAATTTGAACTTTGAGATATCAGTCAACCTTTCCAATGATAGCGGAAGGACACTATCTATAGAACAGCATTTGTCGCTGGCTCCCATGGTGACCAGCCTCGTGTCTGGTAAGAAATGCATGTGGGATAGAAGGTTCTGGAGCAATCTACCTCTTCAGTGTCTCCATCC